TACAGTCCTAAATTTCATATAGAAGAATAAAATGTCCAAAATAGCCAAAAAGCACTGCACAAAAATCACTATACCCAATTTCAATTACACTACAGAACTACAGTAACAAAAACAGCCTGGGACTGGCATAAAAACAGACATGTAGACCAGTGGAATCAAATAGAAGACCCAGAGACAAACCCACACAGATAACAGTCCGCTGATAGTTGAAAACTATACAAAAGCATACTAAGTTGAAGGAAAGGAACTCTGTCTAACAAATGGTGCTGTGAAAACTGGATATCCTTATGCAGAAGAATAAAACTAGATCCCGATCTCAGCCTTCACAAAAGTCAACTCAAAGTGGATTAAAGATACAGAAATGAGACTCGAAACCTTGCAATAGCCAGAAGAAAATATATGGCCAACACTCTGATATGTTGGGTACAGGCAATGACTTCCTCACTAAGACTCCTAAAGCTTAGAAATTAAAACAAAGAATTAATAAATGGTATGGAATCAAATTTAAAATCCACACAGAACTGGAATCTTTGAGAAGCCATCAGTGAACTAACAGGATGTTGAAGCCATTAGGCAGGAAGGGCTAGTATCTGAAACTCCCAGCAGTAACCCTGTTGGTTTGAGAATGCCTGGTTCATGTGGCTTCCTACCCAGCTTCACCACAAGTTCAGCACAGCATGGGAGACTTGCTAGAGCCACAGAGACCCTCTGAGATGGGTGTGGCTTGCCAAAATGCCAATCAACCTGTTTACTGCAAGATCCCTGCCACACCAAGGAGCAAGCACCAAACCAAGACTACCAAGACTCCTCCTGCTGAGACTTTATCCCTCCCTTTGATGTACTCTCCTTTAAATAAATAATCGGAGTCTTTGTTCAGTTATTCAGTTCCAGCTCCTATTAGGACTGGAAAACCCATGAGACACTCCACTTTTTATATCTAATTTCTGGCTCTCTCTCTTTTCCTTACTAATTATTTCAGAGTTTTGCTTCCCAGGTGGCTCACACCTCCTGAGCAGAAACTTACTCTGTTGGGGTGTTGGGCACCCCACAATAGGAATCTGCTAATAGCATAAAGAGATAGCCTACAGATTGGGAGAAAAAGTTTTGTCAGCTACTCTTCTGACAGATGATTAATATCCAGAAATATTAAATACTCAAAAATCTTAGCATCATAAAAACAAATAGCCCCATCAATAAATGGGAAAATAAACTGAACAGATACTTTAGTAGAAATACAAATTGCCAACAAATACATGAAAAAAAATGTTCAGCATCATTAGCAATCAGCAAAATGCAAATCAAAACTACACTGAGATTTCATCTTACTCCAGTTAGATTGGCAATCATCAAAAATAACAAAAGCTGGTGAGGATGCAGGAAAAAAGGAACATTCACACTTCTGGTGCAATTGCACATTAGTACAACCACTATGGAAATCAGTACAGAAGTTCCTCAAAAGACAAGGAAGGGGCTGAGGACATAGCTCAGTTGGTAGAGCACAAGGCCCTGAGTTCAATCCCTAGCACCACCATTTAAAAAAAAAAGAGAGAAAGAGGAAAGAACCACCATAAGATTGCATAAGCTAAGACCTAGCTAAACCACTCCTTACTATTTATTCAAAAGAATTAAAGCCAGCAAACTAACTATATTGATATATGCATACCCATGTTCATAGCAGCATAATTCACAATGGCCAAGTTGTTATAAAACCAGTCTGTTCATGAATAGATAAATGGATAAAAATTGTGGTATAGATACACAATGGAATTTTATTCAATTATAAGGAGGAATGAAATTACGTCATTTGCAGGAACATTGGATGGAACTACAGAATATCATTTGAAGTGGAAAAAAAAGCCAGACTCAAAGAGTCAAGGGTCATATGTTTTGTCTCATATGTGGGAGCTAAAGAAAAAAGTGGGAAAAAGATCTCAAGAAAATTCAAAGGAGATCAGAAATATAGCGAATGGGTTAAGGAGAGGAGGAGAGGACAAAAAACGAAGGTATGGATGAATGAATTAGACTAAATTATGCTATGTGTAGTTATGGATGTATCACAATGGAAACATTGTTAAGTATAATCACAGTTTACTAATAAAATTTTTAAAAGTAAAACAAAATTCTTCTCCAATTGTCATCTACCTGCTTCAACCTTGAGTAAATATTGACAAGTTATCAGATGCCCAGGACCTAAGAGAATGACTTGTACTTCAAAATCTGAATCTTTACTTTTTTATAACTCATATTTTCTGATTATGGATTTCAACTTTAGGACGTTAGCTTAACCCACAGAATTATTCCAATATTAATTATTCTCCATCTTCAAATTCTAATTATCATAATAAGTAAAAGAAAAAAGTAGGAAGGGGAATATTAGTTAAAACAATAAAGTATATCGCAACATAGTAGTTTTTGTAGCAGTGGAATAGTTGGAAAGTATTGGTTAGGGTGGTGATTCTAAAGGCAGGTGATTATAACCAAGAGTCAGTGATAGGTAGGATGAAAGATATATACGTGGTTTAAAAATGAATAAAGGAGGCATCCTTGGAAGGTTGCCTATGGACAAAAGAAGCACAATCACACTGGACAACACCAGGAGGCAGTGTTTCGCATGCTTTAGAAAAACCCAATTGAGGAATTAGAAAATGGGGGGGAGGTGAGAGCTAGGGATATAGCTTAGGGCTAAGTGGTTGCGTGGCATGCATGAGGCCCTGGGTTCAATCCCCAGTATGGAAGAAGAGAAGGAAGGAAGGAAGGAAGGGAGGGAGGGAGGGAGGGAGGAAGGA